TTTAGTACCTTTGCACAAAAATAATCACGTCCCGGGATAGTCCAAGAAACAAATAGTGAAGAGTTGTTAACTATTTCATATTCTTGTAATACTTCTTTTTAGTCCTCTTGCTAGATACCGCACATCATGCGATGTTACATATGGCTAATTAATTTAATATATGAACGCTCTCTCTCGTAAGTGTACAGCTAGAGCCTATGAGTCGATATGTACACAACGTCGCGATATCTTTCTACATAAATAAAGTAGAAACTATCAGAATCTAGCCTCAGCCTAACACACGCGCTAGTGTCCTCCGACAGGTATTCTACACATTGACACACTGTTGCTTTTGTCTCTAAGAGTAAGTTCAAACGTATATCAAACGTTTATTAAGAACTAATTGCATTTTATCGCAAGCACAGTAGCGAGATATCGGCGAGGAAATCTACAAGATCGAACGAAACGGTGGTTGTTTGGTTGTTGAAACGTACAAGGAAATATAGTAAAATTACGGTAAAATAACAAATACAGATCAAACAGAATTCGATATAATAAAGTGAAATTAAATTTATTGGAAAACTTTTTATAAAACTTTATAAAGTGTAGGAGGTAGTTTCAAAGGTTTCTGGAATTTTTTTCATTTTTCTAGAATACAAAACACTTAATCATTATTCGCTACATTGTCACTACAAAAGAAAATTTTGTATTCGAGAATTATGCTTCTATTTTTGCTGCTATTTTTTTCAAAGAGAATTTTCTACTTTTCCTGTATATAATTATGCACTTCTGCAAAGCTATTGATCGTATTCCCGCGAGTCATTTTGCGAAAAAAGCTATGAATTCTATATGTCAGCAGCAAAAACACTAATCCTTCCAGTACAATGAATTTGTTTTTATTGCTGTCATCACGCTGCTTGCTACTAATATCTCATATTTCTATAGGATTAAAATTCAAATATACATATTGTTCAATTACAAATATAATATCAGCCAATTCCGGAGTTTTTTTGAAACTGCCTCGTACATAATTCAAATGTAACAGAATGTCAACACAACAAATATATAAACAAACTTATAAGAAATTATAGACATAGATCATTTAGTCATAATATTTAATAATTTTTCTGGTATATGTATTATTTCTGGTAACGTTTCTTGGACATACTAATATCAAAATAAAGAGTAGTTCATATATTTTTAGCATTGTTGTTCAAAGCCCTACATTCATCACTTAAAATTTAATCGACATATATAAAGAAAAAAAAATATTCTATCATAAAATTCAATACATATTGAAATATTTATCACAAATTTACAAACGTATAACATGGATTTTTACTAGAGCCCTAAAGTAGAAGTGTCGAAGTTTTTAAGAGGAGTGGATCTATTTACGACTACAAAACCAGTTAAAATAATCGATTTCTAGAAAACAATTTTTTTAAACAAATGAAAAATCGAAACGCCTGGCATAATTCACAAACTCAGAAGTCGCTGTACATCTTACATTTGCTGCTCTCGATGCATTGTATAGCAACAAATATGATCCATTCCAAAGTCTGATTTTACGTCTTTTGTTTTCCTTTTAATTTTGTCTTATAAACAAAAAGCGAAAGAAAGGAACGAGATGCAAGAAAAAACTGCAAATCGTAGAACAGAGAACAGTATCAGAATCAAAATAATCCTTAGGTCAGAGACTAAAGTCTACAGTGACTATTACGAGCCTCACACGTTTTAGATTTGGAGTGAATTTTGTTTCTGGAGCAGAAAATAATCTTACTTTAAATAAATCTTATAACACACAATACAAGCTCATTTCTCGCGATATTCATGCACGTCCACATTTTCGCGAACGAGAAGCGAAGTCTCAGCCTTTGTCTATCCGACGCTAAACAAAATCCGCTTTCCTGCAATTCCCCTTTTCACTCCCTCACCCCTCTTTCTCTCTCTCTCTCTATCTTTTTCTCCCTGCGAGATATACAGCGGGTCCGTGCCTGGATATGTACATGCTATCTGAAAGGAGGAAGGACTACTTTTTGCTATACTTTTAGAGCACACAGTGCGACCAAAGAGCTGGCTGGTACCTTTTTGAGTACCCCCTGGAGCAACAATTAGGGCATCGAATGCGTTTCCAGCTGCTCTCGATGTGCCTTAGATGTGCGATTAGATCTTAGGACGCTGCCCCGAATACGTGGAGTATTCGCCTACTGGACAAGGGGAAATAGTTGTTGGATAGGTGGCTCCCTTTACTCGGGGGCCGTAAGCAAGTCCTAGGCCAGCTCTCTCTTCGCTTTAGCCTCGTTGTAGAATTCCGATGTCACATCGGTGCTGGAGGTCGTCACCGTAACCGGCCGGAAGTGTCGGGTCAGCACGTATACTACCGCCTCGTATGTTGCCATTATAATAGCAGTGTTCGGAATCTGCCGGATCAGCTGAGTGCCAAGACCGCGGTAGAGACCCTTCGTGCCCTCTTCCGTCCACACGGTGTTCAAGGTTTGCCAGAATGTGCGATATTTCGAGCCTTCTTCCCGCAATCGAGTCCTCGCGACCTCTGAATAGAACAAAAGGATAAGGATTACATCCCACCCTTGTGTGGACTGTGCATTCTAATTCATGTCTAATTCGTGAAAGTATTACTAAAGGTGATGAATACACAGTTCTATCCACATAAATGTGTTTGTATTAATTTTTAAATTTAGATTTTAATCTTGGGCAAATAATTGTCTCATGTGAGAATTCTTCAGTGTCTCAAATTGCAGTTTTAATCATTATAATTGTAAATGTAATTGAAAAGGATTTGTGTATGTAAGAATTCTGTGTTTTTGCACTATCATAACATGGTTTCATTGATATTTCAATAAGGTAGAATAGTAAAGTGCATCCAAAATATAATTACAAAATTGATTTCCTATTATCGTAACGATCGAAAAATAACTTGATGTGTGATGACGCAGTCTTCTCTCGAATAGGAATGCTCCGATTTCATGCAATTCGCCAACCTTCTGCGAAAAGACGCACGCGATCTGTGCATGATAATGCTGATTTGCAAAACAGTTTCGAAACAAGTGCACTATACAGATCCGATATTATTTTATTCAAACAACCAGAACACCACGAACATTTGTCAACAGATATATAACGTATAATTACACGCCGAGTGTCTGGCACGCGTTGCAGATATAGCTGGTGTTATCTTTAGACCAACTTCGGAGAATCTCCGTAAGGCAATGGCAGAGAAAGAAATTTACTACTCGTTAGTTAAATCCGCACATCAAAAAGCTATAATTATTTTATGTGCTGTATTAACGCATCCATGACGGTCACTAGTGACCGACATTGAGATTTCCGTCACGTTGGTTACCATCAGTGATCGTCACAACACATCAAATCAATATTTCT